AGCCAAAGCAATTAGCCAGACAAAAGAAATTAAAGGGATACAAATAGGAAAAGAAGCACTCAAACTATCACTGTTTGTCAATGACATGATCTGACAGGATCTGAAAAATTCCACCAGAAAACTTCTAGAACTAGTAAATGGATTCAGCAAAGGAGCAGGATATAAAATCAATACCCATAAATCAAATTCATTTCTGTACATCAGTAGCGAATTCTCTGAAAGAGAACTAGGAAAACTACCCCATTTACAATAGCCTCAAATAAATAAATAAATAAAAATATTTGGGAATCAATGAAAGAGGTGAAAGACCTCTGCAATGAAAACTACAGAAAGAAATTAAAGAAGATCTTAAAAGAGGAGAACCATCTGCAGATCTCTGGCACTTATTCTAAATCTCTCCACTCTTGTGCTTAGCTTATAGATCCTAGCTTTCTTGAATTTTTAGCTGTTTCTTTAATTCAGGGAGACCACCAGATTCTCTTTGCATTTCCTTCCCTCCATTGCAGCCTGAAAACTTTGCAAGTAAGAAATAAAACAAAGTTCACTTCATTTGTTTTTCTCTTTTTTGATATTACTCTTCTGAGTTGTGATTATTTGGTGTCTAAAACCTGTTATTTTATTTATTTTGTCCAATTTTCAGTTGTTTAAGGCAAGAAAATAAATCTGGTCCTTATTACCTCACTATGGCCAGTAGAAGTCCTATGAATATATTAACTAATTCTCATAAGCCATTTTTTCTTCATGCTTACCTTTTCCCTAGTTTAATAGTCTAAACTAGGGAAAACACATTTCCTTTCATGATTTCTCTTTGAACTCGTATTATTTCTTCAGAATTTATCTTGAATGAGCCCTCATTTGAAAACTTTCCATGTCTTGGATCGATGTAGATAATCCTTCTTCTGTATTCCAGGTTTCCATACTTTTTGGTACTTATGTATAGCACTTAATCTTAGAATTATGTGATTATCTGTCTCTATACTAGTAGCATATGTCTCTCTCCTAGTAGCCAGTACCTGGCTCAAAATAGTGTTTTAATAAACATATGCATGCATAAAAAAGATAACAGAAGTTCATCCAGAAGAAAGTGATTAGAGTATTTAGGGGTACTCATAAATGATGTCTTATTGCAATTAAAGAAATGGAAGGGTTACCTGGAAAGAGAAGACTCTAAATCTTGAGTAGCATCTTCAAATATTTGGAGGACTGTCATATCAAAAAAGGATTGGACAAGTTCTCTATGGCTTCAAAATTAGGACATAGTCAGTGAAAACTATAGGGAATATTGTTCCCTCAAAAAGGGAACATTTTTCTTGTCTTTTTACTTGGTATATTCAGTGTTAAGTGGCATGCTCACTTAATAGAGTCAGCTATAATAATGCTAAACTTGAGTAACTTAAATTTAGATACCATCTCTAGTACTTCCTAACAGTAACAATTTCAAAGCATTTTAGTGTCATTGGATTGCAAAGTACCTGACATATTAGCTTGCACAAAGTAGGTATTTAAATAGTAACCTTCCCTTAAGTAGCTAAACATTGAAAGGTGGGAGATCGGAGTGACTGGTGAGAAACAGAGATTCTGTGGTTCTTTGGAAAACCTTAGAGCATGTATCTTGGTTTTATTCTTTTATTTAATTTCTTCTTTTTAGATATATATGACACTAGAGTGCATTTTTATTTACTTACATGGAGTATAACTTATTCTAGTTAGAATTTCATTCTTGTGGTTGTACAGTGATGTTTCACTGGTGGTGTATTCATATATAAACATAGGAAAGTTATGTAGATTCATTCTTCTGTCTTTCCTATCCTATCCCCCCTCACTTTCCTTCATTCCCCTTTGTCTAATCAACTGAACTTCTGTCTTCTCCCCATCCCTTGCTGTGTGTTAGCAACCACATATCAAAGAGAAAATGTGACCTTGGTTTTTTTGAGATTGACTTATTTCACTTAGCATGATAGTCTCTAGATCCATCCATTTACTGGAGAAAGTAATAAAATCATTTCTTCCTATGGCTGAGTAGTACTCATTGTGTATATATACAATTTCTTTATCCATTCATCAGTTGAGTGGCACCTAGGTTGGTTCTACAGCTTAGCTTAGCTGAGTTGAGCTGCTATAAATGTGGATGTGGCTGCATCACTGTGTAGTATCCTGATTTTAACTTCTTTGGATAAATACCAAGGAGTTAAATAACTGGGTTGAATGGTTTCATTCCTAATTTTTTGAGAAACCTCCATTCTGCTTTCTAGAGTAGTTGTACCAATTTGCATTCCCACCACACTGCACGGGTGTATCCTTTTTGCCCACATCCTCGCTAACACTTATTGTTACTTGTATTCTTGATAATTGCAATTCTGACTGGAATGAGATGGAATCTCAGTGTGGTTTTAATTTGCATTTCTCTGATTGCTAGAGATATTGAACATTTTTTCATATATTTGTAACTTTTTATATTTCTTCTTCTGTGAAGTACCTTTTCAGTTTCTTTGCCATTTATCGATTGGATTATTTGGGGTTCTGGGTTTTTTTTTTTTTAATCTGCATGTTTTTGTCATTTATAACTGCATTCATATGGTTATTATTTTATTTTAAAATTTATTTTATTTTAAAGGCAAGACTAAGATGGAAAACACTTTAAGCATAGTTCTTGTGACTGTAAACGTAAAAAAGAGGATTCAAGTCCTTGAGAACATAGAAGTGTTGTTCTTGTGTACCAGCCAGTTCATTTCTTTCATTAAATTAGCAAATTGTTTTTTTGTGTCACAACGTGATAGGACGTTATTCATCACTGAGGAAGCAGTGACAAATAAGGCAAAGACCCTGCCTTACGGAATCCATGTATCACCTAGAAAAACAGACAAATAGGGCTGGGGATGTGGCTCAAGCGGTTGTGCGCTCACCTGGCATGCGTGCAGCCCGGGTTCGATCCTCAACATCACGTACAAAGATGTTGTGTCCGCCAATAACTAAAAAGAAAGAAATATTTTAAAAATTCTCTCTCTCTCTCTCTGTCTCTCTCTCTCTCTCTCTCCTCTCTCTTTAAAAAAAAAAAAAGAAAAACAGACAAATATTGAATACACTGTAATAAGGTGTTACAGATGCACATAAACAGTGGTCTATCATTGTATTAAGAAAGGATAGGATTAAAGGAAGCATAATATAGGAAAGTAAAGTGTAAGCTGAGACTTTAAGGATGAATAGAAACTAGCCAGGCCTAGAATATTAGGGGAAAGGAATATTCTACAACCAAAGGAACGTACCATATTTGGAGAACTAAGAATCTTTATATTACACAGGAACATGGAGTTCCACAAAGGGTGACAAGAGATAGGATTGAAAAGCTAAGCAAGAACTAGATTATGAGCGGCCTTATGACAAATTTTAAAGAATTTGGACTTTTACAGTAAGGGAAATAGGAAACCATTCGGATTTTTAGAGTAAAAGAAGGATTGGTTAAAATTTGTACATTAGAAAGATTATTCATCTTTCTTAGGAAGTTAATAGGTAATCTACAAAATGGGAGGGGGATCAAGAAATGAAAGTATAAGCATGTCATTTAGAGATAAAGATCACAAATATTAGGAAAAAATAAATAAAAATAAATTCATGATGGCTGTCCTGGGGAGTAGGAATAAGTACAGGGAAGAATTAGGTTAGAGAAACTAATTGTTGTTGGGTTTGGTACCTCCCCCCATTATAAATTTTCTAGGATTAATTTTTTCCTCAGTATACATATATTGTGGCATAGAGAGTAAGAGTAAATGCTAAGTCTTCTACCTCAGTTAAATTTTACCTTCACTTCTTATGTTATTTAACCTCTCTGTGCTTAAGTTTTTCTGTTGTTTTGCATGATGGTGATGGTGCATAATAAAAACTTAAGTGTTAGCTACTGCTGTTATATACCAGTCACTATTTAGGTGCTTAGATACAAGGCATGTAGATACTGTTAACAACTGTAATACGAGTTTTTTGAAATGATTGAGAATAAAAACAGAAGAAAAACCAGAACCAGTATAGATAATTTTATCAACCTGATTATTAAAAGAAACTTAATGCACATATAGATAACGTTGTGGTGCGTTTTTTTGTTTGTTTGTTTGTTTTTTATTTGTTCTGAATAGTCATACATGACAAAATGCATTTTGACACAAAATACATAAATGGAGTATAACTTCTCATTCTTATGGTTGTGCATGATGTTGAATTACACTGGTTGTGTAATCATATATGCACATAGGGTAATAATGTCTGATTCATTCTATTATTCTTCCTACTCCTATACCCTCCTTCTCCTTTCACTCTGTCTAATCCAAAGGACCTCTATTCTTCCCTAGCCACCCCCTTATTGTGAATTAGCATCCACAGATCAGAGAAAACATTCAGCCTTTGGTTCTTTGGGATTGGCATATTTAACTTAGCACAGTGTTCTCTAGTTCCATCCATTTACAAATGCTATAATTGTTTGTTTTTTTAATTAAAAAAAATTTTTTTTTCAGTGCTAGGGATTTGAGTGTAGGCCCCAGTACATGCTAGACACGTGTTCTACCATTGAGCTACTAGAACAGCATGATAAGAGCATTGTGTCTTAAACAGCTGTAAAGTATACATTCTTTTCAGGAATACATGCAACATGTCTTAAATTGATCAAATACATGCTCAGATTTTAAAATGTGAATATATCAGATTGTGATATATGTTCATAGTCCATTCAAGCTAGAAGTCAATACAAAATATAACTAAAAAATTCCCCATCAAGTTTAATATTTAAAAATACACTCTGGGTTATTAACCCATGTTATATTGTTCATGTAACCCTAAACAATATGCTTACATTTTGCTTGTTTTTCAGCTTTTTATATAAATGAGCTTGCTTAGAATGTCTTATTGTGTGTCTTGTTTCTATAGTTTTGGGCATTCTCCTGGCTGTTAGTTTGCAAACAACTTTAAGGGATATGTAATTTTAAAACATTAATCTTTTTTCATTGTGTTTTACGTAGTCGACAGAGATATGTTCTTGGGGACACAGCAATGCAGAAGATGGCCAAGTCCCATGTTTTCTTAAGTGGTATGGGCGGTCTTGGTTTGGAAATTGGTAAGCAATATTTTATTATGATTTTATGTAATACTTTTGACCAACATAAGTTTATTTTAAAGAATTTAATTCATTCTATTATTCTTTCTTATACATTCCATAAGGAAATTAGATCCACAAGCTTCATTGAATACTTTTTTTTTTTTTTGGTACTTGGGATTGAACTCAGTGGCACTCAACAACTGAGCCATATCCCCAGCCCTATTTTGTATTTTATTTAGAAATAGGGTCTCAATGAGTTGCTTAGTGTTTTGCTATTGCTGAGGCTGGCTTTGAACTCACCATCCTCCAGCCTCAGCCTCCTAAGCCGCTTGGATTACAGGCATGTGCTACCATGCCCACCTTGAATTCAATTTTGATTTCTTTTGGCAAGATTATTTCTTGACATTGTTATGTACTTTCACAAGGAACCAATAATGACTCTCTTTGCTTCTGTTTTTGTGATGTTAATATCTATTAATGATTAATTGCCGTATCCATTTATATATATTCATAAAAACATGTTTGTAAGAATATAGTAAAATTTTAAAAGTGGTTGCCTCTGGGTGGAATGATTATACAAAATTGTATTTATTTCTTTTTTGTTAATCTGTATTTTCTAACTGTTTTTTGCAAGGGACTTATATTTCTTGTATAATTACCAAAAAATAGTCATTTGAACTATTTCTTTTTCTTTTCTCTTTATAGCAAAGAATCTTGTTCTTGCAGGGATTAAGGTAAGTGAATGTATGTCCTTTAGTAAGAAAAATTATGCTTACGATTTTGTTTTTGTTCATTTATAAAGGTAGTATTGTTTATACTTTGACTTATTGTGCCTTTGTTTAATAGAAAAATTGTTTTTATACTCCTGTCCTTTATAAACAAACAAGAAATTTTAAAAATGTTGTAAGGGCTGGGATGTGGCTCAAGTGGTAGCGCGCTTGCCTGGCATGCGTGCGGCCCGGGTTCGATCCTCAGCACCACATACCAACAAAGATGTTGTGTCCGCCGAGAACTTAAAAAAAATAAATATTAAAAATTCTCTCTCTCTCTCTCCTCTCTCGCTCTCTCTTTTAAAAAAAAATGTTGTAAAATAGAATAGTTTATCAAAACTTATGTACATATCACATAGCTTCATTTACCAATTCAGAGACACATATCCATCTATTTCCTTCTTATTTCTGACAGTCTGCAACTGCCAAATTATTTTAGTGTAAATCTTAGACATAGTATTTTCTATATCATTCTTGAACACTTTAGTGCGGTACCTTTTGTAAATATTAATACAATACCATTTTCACACCTAAAAATGTAACAAATTCTAAATATTGTTTATATTACTTACCTGTTGCTATGAAATCATTTACCCACAAATTGGATAACTTAAACATTTCTTATCTCCAGTTTCTGTGGGTAAGGATTCAAGCATGAGTTAACTGGTTTCTTTATGTGAAGATCTCATAATGCTTCCATTAAGGTTTTAGTAGGAATTGTAGTCATCTTGAAGCTAGCTTAGTGGAGGATCTGCTTCAAGCTTGCTCTTCTTTTTGGCAGCATTTGGGTCTTCATGGGTTAAATTATTGGACTGAGAACCTCAGTTCCTTGCTGGCTCTGGGTCAGAGGTTATCCTTAGTTCATTGCTTTGTCATATTCTCCATAGCGCAGCTCATACTGTGGTAGCTTGCTTCATCAGTGTAAGAAAGGATAAGACAAGAAAGGGATTGTGCTAACAAATCAAGTTATAGTCTTTTATAACCTAATATTAGAAGTAAGTGCAGCCCATACTCAAGAGGAAGGGCTGACCCAAAGACATATATATAGGAAATTGGAAGCATTGGGGTCATCTTTAAAGTCTGTTTAGCATAATCATAAGTTACCTTGTGTTCAGATTTTAGTAGTTTTCTTATATCTTTTTTAAGGCTTTTTTGGTTCTCATAGGGTTTCAAGTAAAATTTATATATTGAACTTGTTTATTTTAATCTGAGGATTTTTTCTTCCTGGATTTAATTTTATCTTGGAATTTATTTGTTTAAGAAACTAGTCACTGGTAACATATTCCCTTATCCCTGCAATTCCTGTAAACCGATAGTTATGTGCAGAGAATCAGAATCAGATTTGATTCTTGGGCTGGGGATATAGCTCAGTTGGTAGAGTGCTTGCCTTTGCATGCACAAGGCCTTGTGTTCAATCCTCAGCACAACCCCCCAAAAAAAAAAAAAAAAAGATTTGATTCTTTTTTTAATATCTTAATTTTTTAAAATATCTTTATTTTGTTTATTTTTATGTAGTGCTGAGGATTAAATCCTGTGCCTCGCCTCACATGTGCAAGGCAAGCGCTCTGCCACTGAGTCACAACCTCAGCCCTGATTTGATTCTTTAGCAAGACTATTTTATAGGTAATATTGTGTTCTCCCATCAGGAGTCAATAATATCCTGTTGTCCCTCTTTTTATGATGATTATTAGCCATTAGTGATCATTGCCTAGATCTATTGTTTCATTAGGGACCACAGTTATATTCTCATTTATTAGCTGGGTTAATATTTTAGAAAGAAAAGTTTCCATTCATCACTTATTTAAGATCATACATATATGAAAGGCAAGATAATACTTGAATTTTCCTTCTTTAATTGCCAGCTTTATAAATCTGTGGATTCAGCCAGCCGGGTGGTTCATGCCTGTAATCTCAGCAACTCTGGAGGCTGAGTGAGGATCAAAAGTTTTAAGCCAGCCTTAACAACTTAGCAAGACCCTGTCTCAAAATTTAAAAAAAAAAGGGAAGGGATGTAGCTTACTGATCAAACACTTGAGTTCAGTCCCTGGTACCAACCCCCCCCACACACACACACACACAAAATATATAGTGGGTTCCTATCCCAAAAGAGACCTGTGAACTCAATATGTATGTGTGTATGGATATGTCGTGATAAATGCAAAGATTTAAGCATAATTAATATATTTTGATCCACATAGAGATTATTTTCATTGATGCTAAAATTGTTCCATCTTTGGTTATCGGAATTCTTTGCAACTTTTTAAGTTCTTTTGATACAACTCCAATACTGTTTGTCACTTATAAAGTCTTTTTGGTAGATAGAATTAAACAATTCTAATGGTCTAATAAGCACCAAAATTTCTGATTTTCAAGTTTAGGATTATAAGGGATTACTAAAGTTTTTAATTCACATTTAGGATTGTTGGATATTTTATATTTTAAGCTTTTTTATCTTACTGTATGTAGGGTCTTACTTAGTTCCTAGTGAAATTAACCTAATTACTTGCAGATGTTCATATATATGAGACATAGTTTCAGAATACCAATTTCAGTATTATTAATAAAATATGTTAACAACAGCTCAAGGGTTTTTTTTTTTCTTTTTTAAATCCTACTTGAATTTGACAGACAAATTAATGGTTTTCTTAAGACACTTTAATTCCTCTGGGTAATTAGGCAAATGACTCAATATTTATGTTAACAGTTTGGTTCATTTATTTATTTTGCTTTGGATTTTTAGGATTTGCTTTTAATTTAATTGTGCTGTTATGTGACATATATTTGATTTCAAAGTCATATTTACAAAGCAATATATTTTCAGTATCTTTTCTTAACCCTGTTCCTTTATTCACTTATTATATTATGCCCTTTCTTTGATATTTTCTTCATTTGTTTTTCAATATAAGCAAATGTGTATACACATATATGTGTATCTATATATGTGTATGTATATTTATCGCTTTCTGTCTTTCTTATAGTGACTTGCTTTTCTCTCCATCTTCCTTTTTTATCATTTAGTGGCATATCCTGAAGATTTCTAAATTTATAGTTGCATGCATATACATATGTGGATATATCACATATATGAAATTTTCCATATTGGAAAACTTGGATATTTTGATTATTTCTTTTTTAATAGTGCTACATTTAATACCCTTGTACATATGTCATTTTGTATGTTTCCCTGAGTGTCTTTTGGATAGTCCTAGAAGTGGAATTAGTATGTCAAAGGATAAATGCATTTGTCTTGAAAGAAATTGCTAAATTTCTTTCCATTGAAGTTGAGTCACTTCACATCCCCATCAGTAATTATGTGAGTGGTTGAGTACCTCACCCTCATTAGTACAGCAAGTTGTCAAAACTTTTGGACTTATTATGCCAGTCTAATGAGTGAGAAAAGATATTTCTTTCCTGAGTATTGCCAAGCATCTTTACATATTTCTTACAAATTAATCTTGCCCTTTTTTCCTGTAAGATTTGAAAGGACCTTATATGGATTGCAAATATTGTTTTTCTAGCTTGTGAATTACTTTTATGACTTGGAGCATGGCATATTTTTAAATGTTTATAAGAATTTTTTGAATTTTTATACATTGAGGTTTTTAAGGTACTTATTTGATAAGTTTAAATTCTCTTAAATGCTTAATTTTTTTCTATCAGTGTATTGGGGTTTCTAGATTTTACATGATCATATATCATCTATAGATCTAGTTTTGTATCCTTTTTGATTTTTATGCCTGAAATTATTTTTGTTGCATTTATGCATAAAAATATAGAGAGTATAGTGTAAATAATATTAGAGAAAGTTGAGTATCCTTGTCCTATTTTAGATTTCAACAGATACTTTCCTCTTTTCTGAAGGCACTTACAATCCATGATACAGAAAAATGCCAAGCATGGGATCTAGGAACCAACTTCTTTCTCTGCGAAGATGATGTTGTGAATGGTAGAAACAGGTAAAGATATTTTGATGTCTTATCATAGTTTTTAGAATTTTTTTTGTGTCCGGAACACCAGTTCAGTCATAGTTGTTTAACTCATTACCATAAATTTACAGTACCATAGTTAAGTAAGTACTATCATATGCTTATTTAATTATTTATATTGGGCTGAGGCTGTACCTCAGTGGTAGAGCACTTACCTTGCATGTGTGAGGCATTATCAAGGTTCTTATATAGTCATTGCTATCTAGAAAATAATTTCTTTGGGATTGTTGAGCCATATCTTTAGTATTATTGAATCATTTAGACTTCTAGGACATGGAATTTAGAACCATAAGTGTACATTTTGAGATTATTTGGCTTTCTATGAATTATGACAATATATTTTTAAGATTATATAATTTTATGAAACATAAATTAGCTTTTTTCTTGTATAATTTATTGTTTCAATTAAAATTTCATAACATATTAAGTACTTATGATGTCATTAAGTGTCTAACTTTGAGAGATTGAATGAAAGATGGTTAATTATTTTTTTAGGGCTGAAGCTATACTTTACCGTATTGCAGAACTAAATCCATATGTTCGCGTCACATTATCTTCAGTACCTTTCAATGAATCCACAGATCTCTCCTTTTTACATAAATACCAGGTTAGTAAGCCAATTTTGTATTAAATGTTATTGACTGATTCCCAGGCATATCATCAAGTATTAATACAGCATGACTGTTGTTAGTATATTGAGCAAAACAAGAAAATTTCACATTAGAATTATTGGAGTAATACTTATCAGATATTTCATTTTTCAAGAGAGGACTTAAGAACTGATGACACAGAAATTTATTTGGCTATTTTAATAGTAATGTGCATAAAAACTACTGAAATTCATTTATACCAGCATGCAATTATTTCTTCCTCCTCACGTATCTGCACGTCATTTAGGGGTTCTGCTGTATACACTAAACTTAGCTTGAACTTCAGAGTCTGAGTATCTTAATATATCTCTTCTTAGACCAGGAGACTACACCATTCATGTTCTCATGTTATTAACAGAAAAACAAAAGGCAAGCCAACCTCTCAAGAACATTTCATTGTCCAAATAAGCCACATTGTCAAGGTCAAATTTAAGACGCAAGAAAGTACTCTATTTTCTTCCTAAGGAGCCATAAAGAACCATTACAGTTAGAGTGGAGTAAACATGGATCAATAATTCAATCTTCCTTTTGTACTAAAATTTTGTAGAATATTGGATATTCTAAAAGTACCTAGGTTGACCCTGTTTTTGTTTTGTTTTATTTTGTTTTGTTTTTCTTTGATTAAATTTTGTCATTTCTTGTTTAAAGATCAGTATGTAGACTTAGGTTCTGGACCAAATAACTTAAAATCTATTCTTCTGACACCTAGAATTCCACCCAAGAATTACTAACATACTTTCATTTAAATGACTACCTAACCAGAAAATAAAGTAAGTGATTAGAGGCCAGGTAAACACCCTGTTGGTCACTCTCAGGGACAGAGCTATTTGTTTCAATACTTGTTCTTAGGAATTAATGGTGAGAGAAAATATGAGATGCAGATTTAGATCTACATGAGATAGAGAAATGGTATTGAGACCCAACTCCCTCTCTTCATGGAACTGAAATCTCAGAGACCTACAACCTTAGTGAAAGGACAGATAATAGTTTCTCCTTGCCTATCAGAACAGTAAACTTGTCTGATTTTTCTTGAGCTCTTGATGAAAAAACAAAGGTCTTCCCTAGAAATTTGTAACCATAGGCCTATACCCACACAGGTTTAGAAATCAGCATAATAATCTTTGTGGTCCAGAAATTCCTAAGCTAAAGATTTAATGTAAAAAACCAAAGTAGTAGTACTATTTTGACTATACCCTAGAATGCCAGACAGAAGCTAAACAAATTTAGATAATGTACTCTGTCAGGCCACTTTGCATTCTAATATTTAAAGCCCCTTTGAGGAATTAACAATCTAAAACAATAAAAAGCAGTTCAATTGATCAAGAGTTGATGGATAGAACAAATTAGAGTTAAACCTCTCTAAGTATTTCAGAAAAAAGAATTGTTGGAAAAAACCTGTAAATATAGTTTTCAGACTGAATAAATCTTAAAAGAAGGGAGTAAATATTTAATGTAAAAATGAGAGTATCAAAAAAGACCAGACAGATGTAAGGAATTAAGTAGAAAATGTAGAAATGAAAATCTAGTCATAAAAATTAGAAATTAGTGGATATATTAAGCAGTGGGTACACAGATATTAGATAATTGAATAATAGCTCTAAGGCAATTGAGGCTACAGTAAGAAATAAGAGAAAATATGAGTAATAAAAGAAATGAGAGCTTGAATGGAAAGCTTTAATTTTAGAGATTGGATTTCTAGAAAGAAAGCATTAAGAAAAACAAGACTCAAGGAAATTATGGCTAAGTCTTTTTCAGTATTGATAAAATACAAATCCTCAGATTCAATATGTATTGGTTTTTGTGTTAGATTTTATCTTACTTTCAGGCTAATAAGACCAAATAAATAGTTAGAGATTTTTAAAAAAGGAGATATTACGACTTAAACCACAAAAATGCAAAGAATGAAAACCCAAACAGATCAATGACAAATAGTGATATTGAAGCAATAATTAAGTCTTCCAAGAAAGAAAACTATAGGACCAGACAGTTTCACTGCTAGATTTTTTTTTTTTTTAAGAATACCTAATTCCAGTTCTTCTCAATCTATTCCAAAGGATTGAAAAGGAGAGAATCCTTACATAATCATTCTACAAGACCAGGATTACCCCATTACTAAAACCAGACAAGGACACAACAAACAAACAAACAAAAAATACACACACACACACACACAGACCAATGTTGTCACTAATCAATAGTGCAAAAATTCTTAACACAATTCTAGCAAATCAGATCTAACAGCACATCAAAAGAAAATTTACCATGATCAAGTTATTTATCTCATGGTCACAAGGATAGTTCCAACATACACAAACCAATAAATGTAATAAGAACAGAATGAAGAATAAAAATCATCCATTAACCATCTCTTAGACACAGAAAAAGTATTTGTGCTTGGTGTGGTAGCACATGCTGTAATCCCAGCACTCAGGAAGCTGAGGCAGGAGGATTATAAATTCCAGGCCAGCCTGGGCAAATGAGCTATATCCTATGTCAAAATGAAAAGGGTTAGGGATACACTTCAATGATAGAGCATTTGCCTAGTATGCACAAAGCCCTGCGTTCAATCCTAGTACCACAAAAAATTAAAAAGAAAAGAAAAATCCTTTGATAAAATTTAACACCCCTTCAAAATAAAACCCCTAAACAAATAGGTATAGAAGGATCATAACTTAACATTGTAATTCAACATTGTAAAGACAAAAATGATTCCTACAGCCATCATAATGAATGAGGAAGAGCTGAAAAGTGTCCCATCTAAGATCTAGAACAAGATAAAGGTGTCCATTCTTACCATTCTTATTTAATAAAGTACTGGAAGTTTTAATGAGAGCATTTAGGCATGAGAAAGAAATAGAGGACATAAAAATAGGAAATGAGAAAGTAAAAATATTCCTATTGGCAGTGATACTATACATAGAAAAACCTAAAGTTCAAACAAAAGGCTATTAGAACCAATGAACAAATTTAGTAATGTTGCAGAATACAAAATCAACATATAAAAATCAATAGCATTTTTATGCAATAATAATGAGATTATTGAGAAAGATATCATGAAAGCAGTCCCATTCACAATAACTATAAATAACAACATCTAGAAATAAATGTAACTGAGGGAGTAAAAGACCTCTACAATGAAAATTACAAAATGCTGATAAAAAATTAAAACACACAAAAAATGGAGGGCCCTCTTTGTTCTTTTTTTTTTAATATATATATATATATATATATATTTTTATTTATTTTTTTATGTTTTTTTATGTGATGCTGAGGATCGAACCCAGTGCCTCATGCATGCTAGGCAAGCACTCTGCCACTGAGCCATAACCCCAGCCCCTCCTCTTGTGTTCTTGTATTGAAAAAAATTAATGTTACTTAAATGTTATTACTACCAAAGTAATATATAGATTCAGTGCAATTATCATCAAAATACCAGTGATACTCTTTTCAAAATTAGACAAAAGCAATTCTAAAATTTATATGGAAGTAGATAGCCAAAATAGTTTTAAACAAAAAGAACAAAGAAAAGAAAATACTGAAGATATCAAAATACCTGCTTTCAAGACAACCACAGAACCATAGTAACAACCCTATGGTAGGGGCATAAAAACAGATGCACAACAGTGAAACAGAATAGAGATCCTAGAAATAAACCTGCACATCTACAGCCAACTAATTCTCAATAAAAGCACTAAAAACATACATCAGAAACAAGCCAGTCTCTCAAATGGTGCTAGGAAAACTGGACATTCATATATAAAAGACTGAAACTTGACCCCTATCTCTCACCCTATAGTAAAATCAACTCAAAATTTATAAAAGCCCTGAATGTAAGAGCTGAAGGGAAAACACTTTAAGACATTGGTGTAGGCAATGATTTTCTGGCTGTGACTGTAAAAGGACAAATTTTAAAAAAAACGGCATTACATCAAAGTAAAAATCTTCTACACAGTAAAAGAAAAAACAGTGAAGATCTAACCTACAGAATGAGAGGAAATATTTGCCAACTACCCATTGGCCAAAGGAGCCATGGTACCTAAGGAACTTAAAAAACCTAATGTAAAAACACGTAACCCAACTAGAAAATGGGCAAATGATCTGAATAGACATTTTTCAAAAGAAATGAAATAACAAAAAATATAAATATATGAAAAGTGATCACTATCATTAGCCATCAGGGAAGTGCAAATCAAAACTAAAATGAAATATCTCACCCCAATTAAAACAACTGTTATCAGAAAACCAAAAATGGCAAGGACGTGGAAAATAAAGACATTCTCATAAACTGTTGACGGGACTGTAGACTAGTAAAACCATCATGGGAAGCAGTATGGAGGTTCTTTTAAAAGTTGAAAATAGATCTACCATATGATCTAACATTCCTACTTCTGGGTATATATATATATATCTAGAGTAAATTAAATCATATCAAAGATATGCCTGCACACCCATTATTACTGCAGCACAGTTCACAATTATGAAAACCTAGAATTAACATAGGTGCCCTTTTACATATGCTTAGGTAAAGAAAATTTCACAGATATATACAAATGTATTTGAGCCATAAAAAAGAATGAAATACTGTTATTTGCAGCAAAATGGATGGAATTTGAGGACATCATTCTAAGTGACATAAGCTAGACATAAAAAGACAAGTACTAAATTTTCTGTCATGGAAATTTTTTTAAAAAGTGGACTGAATATACAATGGTGATTAGTTTGGGAAGTGAGAAGGAGGTAGATAAAGGGAGGCTGAATTTGGTTGGTGCACACCTATATATGCATGTATTGACATATCACACTGAACCCCCTTAATTTGTACATGTTAAGTAATACACATTAATCAAAACTAAAATCATTTTTTTTAAATGTGGAAATTAGGTTTTATTTTGTCACCATCATCACCACCCTCCAATCCCACTAGTGTAACACAAAGGGCTCAATGGATGCCTGTGCACGTAGTGCATTGCTTTAAGAGAAAACACTGAAGTTAGGAAATCTGCTGTTTTATAACATGCAGTAGATAAGTCTTTTCCCTTGAACTCCCTTATCCTTCAAGTTTTTAGTTGGTATATATAATCCAGAGATATGGCCCCAAGTTAAACTCTTAACATTTATGGCATACCCACATATAAATAACATCAAGATTATGACTTTCCAAATGTCTCATTACAGGTAGCATACTATATTCTGACATAGGTAAATAAAACTAAATCCATACTTGAATATTGCTAGTAAAAATTAACATCCAATTCACTCAGACCAGCAGAGAGGAAACACAAGGGGACTGAAAATCTTGTTCTTTACTACTACATAGATAAATGACCTTAAGGAGAAAGTATTTGACCTCTTTGAGTCTAAGGTAATTATAATAAAATCTGATTTTAAAAACATCTAATTTTAGCAGAATTAAGCATAAAAGATTAAGTATGCATTGAAAATTGTTGTTTGCTATAGGATTGAGTGATTTCACTAATAATATTGTCATTAAAAAGTTTATTTTTTGAGTCTGTTGAATTTCAGAAGTAAACGAAAGTTACACCAGTTAATATGTGTCTTTAAATTATAAGAGGCTTTTAGTTTGCATGAAAGTAGTATTCTGATAGTTAGATTGGTATTTTCATGGTAGTAACAGGTAAAACAATGCTCCAACCACTTGGACAGTGCCCAGATACCACATAGGATATTAGGTTTTCTTCTAATAGTGAAGTCTCTAATAGTAATTGAATTTAATGGTAGATTTCCCCTGCATATGTTTTTACTTATAATATTTTGTGTTTCTGAAGGTAATAACCTTAGAGCGAATACAATAGGGTAATATTTTTTTAATAAGGATAGCATTTCAAACTAATGTGCTTCTAACTTTTAAGAAATTATACTTTACTAAAAGAATTTTTCATTTTGTAGTCTGTAATTTTTTTTATTGTCAACAGTGTGTGGTGGTGACTGAGATGAAACTTACATTGCAGAAGAAGGTCAATGAGTATTGCCGTTCTCATTACCCTCCAATTAAGGTATTCTTATTTCATAATGATATGCAATTAATCAAAAGAGGAACAATTTTACTATTAAAATTTGTAGCTACTCATTGAGTTACAAAGAAGCTCTTTTTCCATGAGGACAATCACATAAGATTTCTCTGTTTAATTTTGGTATATTCATTTCCTGTTTTTAAAACAGGGATCTAAGTTTGGTTTATAGACAAATTGCCAAAATTAAGCAAGAGTTAAGATTAGGAATGGAAAGGTTGATAAACAGTAAATACATCATCTAGTTTTAAATATGATATAATGATGGTTTTCAAGAGGTGCATTATTTCATTCATCAAATATTCATTGAACATCTATGTGCCCGGTGCAGTTCTGGGCCCTAGAAAAACATTAGTGAACAGGACACAGATTTTCTTATTCATGAAACTTGCCATCTGCTAAGGAAGATGTATAATAAATAAGCAAAGAAAAAAAATCTGGGCAAAGAATAAAAGCAGTATCTGTATGAGGTTGAGAGAACACCCAGTGCCATTTCTGTTAGATTAGAAAGTCAAGGAAGTCCTCTTTGGGCTGCTGACATTTGACTAGAACCCTGAGAAAGAATCAGCTATTTAAAGATCTGGAAAAGAACATTCGAAGCAGAGGAATGTATAAAAACCTGCAAGTTTAAAAATTAACTTGGAGTGTTTGAGCAACAAGAGGCAAGCCAAGATCATTAAAATGCAGTTAGAAAAAAGGGAAAAGGATAGTAGGAATAAACAAACTAGTGTATTAGATGTAGAGAAGTAGGTAGAGGGCCATAATTTATGGGATCTTTGAGGATATTTGAATTTTAAGCCCCTTAAACATTGATATGACTTACATTTACATTTACTTTAGCTTGTTGTGTGGAGAGTAGACTGTAGCAGTGGTTTCCAAAGTGTGGTCTTAGCATAGTTTCTAAAGCCTTTTCAGGAGTTCTTCTCAAATTGTTTTCATAATGTTACATAATATTTCATAATATTACTTTTTCACTCTTATGGGGTACAGTGGATTTTTCCAGCATCTATATGATGTGTTTTGATGTCAGTCCTCTGACACTTTGTGGAAATTGTCTGTTTTTGTATTTTAATTTTTTCTGTTTTAATCCTTTTTATTTTTTTTTTATTATTTTATTTATTTTTTTACAGTACCCAGGGCTTCACACTTGGCTAGGAAAGCACTGTGCCATTGATCTAGTTGTCCTACTTCCCTAGCTTTGTTTTAAATAACAATAGGTATAACTCACATAAACAAAAGCCCTTTGAGCTTTTAGTAATTTTTAAGAGTATGAGGTAATTATGAAAGTGATCCCAAAGAAAGAGAACTATTGGATTATACGAGTAGCATAGGGGCAGACAGACCAGTTAGGAATTATTGCAGTAGTCTAAATGAAAGATGCTGGTGTCCCAGATGAAAAATGAAGTGAAAATAGAGAAAATGAGAAATTGTTGAGTTTGAGGTAATTTTTTTTTTAAAGGCTGATATAACTTGTGCAGTTTTTTAAAAAAGAAAAAAAAAAAAGGCTGAGGGGCTGGGGTTATAAGTCAGTTGGTAGAGTGCTTGCCTCTCATGCTCAAGGCCATGGGTTCATCCCCAGCACCAAAAAAAAAAAAAAGAAAGAAGGCTGATAAAACTTGTGAATGACTGGATGTTAGTTTTTAAAGAGTAAGCAAGAATGGCTCCTAGTTTTTTTGTTTTGGTGTTTTGTTTTGTTTTGTTTTGGTCTAGCATAATTAGGTGTTTGGTGGTGACACTGGGAAGAAAGAAAAAGCATAATCCTTCTCCTGTAATTGAATACACACAACTAACTCTCCTTTGTTTTGGAGGTTACTGTTTTCTTTGGGAGAAAAAAAAAAAAACTGTTACTTTAAGAATGGCATTAAGCCAAAATCATTCTGTATAGTATAAGTATGCTAAAAAAATTTTCAGTTTGGGTATTTTCATAGTCTATTTGTTCTCTCTGTGGGAAATTTGTGCTCTAGTTCACAATTTAAGGTCAATCAGGATAATCTGTAAACTTACAACAGGGAACAGAATTTTGACTAAGTAATTACATTAAATTATAAACTAAAATCTTTGTTTATGTAACTGTTACACATATCTATATTTCAGAATTGTTTTGGGAAAAAAAATACATAAATTGTCCTGGAGTTTTCAGCTTTTAAACTTAAAAAAATAAAAATAAAATTAAAAAGAAGCAGCAACAGCAGCTGCATATAAATTTCTGCCCAGCTTTATATCTCAATAAAAGAACAACAAAAACTGTATATACCCATTTTAATCAATAAAGACAACACATGATCAAGCGGCATGTACTTTAATAGCCATCTCATACTTTGAAAAATAGGAATGACAAATCATTTTTATGAGATATACACAAATGTCACTATATTTTATTTTTGTTAGAAAACTATTTTATGCTGGGTTAGATATGCTACAGAACAAGTATTTGTAATTTTTTAGCAATAGCTCTAAAAGTAGTTTTCAGCACAAAAATAATTTCTTTACAAATTCTTTACATAGAAACAATGCATTTTTTAAGAACATTGCTTTTAATAAAATACTTCAGATTTTGTTAAAGAATCTGATTTTTAATTTCACAACTTTATTTTTTCACTTTTAGTTCCTCATCCTTTTTTTTAGACTGCTGTTAGCTTTTCATTCTGTTCTATTTTTCATTCATTTTACTGCTTTTAGTGAATGTATACTCATTTCTTTTTTTGCTAAAATATTCATTCCCAGGCCATTAAATCAAATAACTATTATATATTGTGCTCGAATTTTATGAGGACATAATTTTTGTTATTTAAAAATCATAAAATGAAAAATGATGATATATACTTATTTTTCTTCTAACTTTGTTATACCAAATAATCCATTCACCAGATGTCCAAATTTCTTGATTCTTAACCTGATCTATATACAGTTTATTCTACTCATGATTCATTTTATTTTCCAAAGAATATACTTAACTATAAATGTAATTTTTTATGAAAGAGTTTAGGTTTGAGGTGTTTTTCTCTTTCACATAAATTAAAAATCTTATTTTTGCCATTTCACAGTTCATCAGTGCAGATGTACATGGAATTTGGTCACGGTTGTTTTGTGATTTTGGTGAGGAATTTGAAGTTTCAGATACTACTGGAGAAGAACCAAAAGAAATTTTCATTTCAAATATAACGCAAGTATGATTATATTAAGGAACTTTTTAAACAAAATTTTTTAAAGTGGATGTGAATGCTTCTTTTTAAAAGGAAATATTAACACAATATTCTAATAAGCAGAATAAATGAATATTTTCATTTATTATATATTAAAATAATTAGGAAATATTTTGTTAATTAGGAATTATTTAAAATATTTATATTTTAAAATTATTAGGAAATATTTCTTGATTGTTATATTAAAACTAACTTGAAATTGGAATATTAATTTTAATAGTGTCTAGATATACTCCATCATTATTTTACACTTGATAGAACATTTGCATATTATAAAGTTTAGTTTCAGTTTTGTTCTATACCGAATAATTGTGATTCATTATTTACTAAGCTTTTTACTTTGTCACATCATGGATGGACTATATCATAAGTCACCTGGTCCAACACTGCATGTATAGGAAAAGGTAGAGAAAGACTTTTCTAATCCATTACATTCTAAAACAATATTTAGAAGGGAGTACAATTTAAGAATTGATTAACCTGTGAGTCAGAAGTAAATTACAACCACACTTCCTTGATATCATGTAATCTTAATTTGTTGTTTCCTAAAAGAATGTAGAATTAATTCCTTTCTAATACTCACTTCTTTTAACCAAAGTAATTTATTTGTGCTCTTTGTAGTTATTATACATTAAAACCCAAAGCAGCCAATTACAAAGGAATAATATACCATGAAACAATAGTTGTATTTCTGACTTTATGTTTTATTTTTAAACTTAGTATGTTTCCTTTCTCACACCTTTTTTAAGAAAAAATAATTGAAAAATCATTTTGTATAGCCCTGCTTAGAGTGGTTTTTTATTTTAAAGTATCTATATACCTCCCATACGTTAAGATAGCCAGTGTTAGACTCTTAATTTTTAACACCTAGTTTTTTTATGTTTTACAAGTCAAAAGAATCCTCAAATCTTTGAAATATCCAAAGTCTTTGGAATCTCTAAATGTCTACCCTAAACTTGAAATTATATTTCAACATTCATTTTAAAAAGTACTAAGTTGATCATTTATTTGTGACAGTTCTTTAAAGTTTGCTTTCACTTAATGTGAAAGAATGGCTTCGAATTTGGGTTTGAGGATTTTATGATAACGTTGTCATTTTTCTGTGAGTTTTGGAATTTATACTAAAAGAATATGTGAACTTGATTTTTAATAGATAACTCTAATTTTTAGGCTAATCCTGGCATTGTCACTTGCCTTGAAAATCATCCCCACAAACTTGAGACAGGACAGCTTCTAACATTTCGAGAAGTTAATGGAATGACAGGTTTAAATGGATCTACACAACAAATAACTGGTAAGGTGATGTGTTTTATTGACTCATTTATAATTATTCATTATTCAGCACCTTTATAATTCAGATACTATGCTCAGTGTTGGGAACATAATGTCAACTGATAGAAATCTGATTCATAGGTCTTGAGCATAAAACATTCAGTTCAAGTATTAAACAGTGATGATATTAAGAAAGTACAGACATTCTTAGAACTCCAAACTTAGTAAAGATACCTTGCCTGGTTGGAGGATAGCAACAGTGAGGATAGCGTAACCTGATAAAAACCTGAAGGTTGCGATGACTTCAGAAGGTACTGAAAAAGAACGTTCCAAACAGAGTTAAACAGTAGAAGTCTCAGATCCAAGATAGAACACAACTAATTAAAATGTGCTTTGATAGGGCTAGCAATGAGAATTAAAATTCCAAGAATCTTAAAACATTTAAAAAGAAACATTTTGTTATCATGGTAGTTGAGCAAATATCCTAATTGGATAACATTCATGTAAGGAGTACAAGAAAGAAGAGAGTAGGTTTGGGACAGAAGATAATGAGTAGTTTAGGCTTGTCGAGTGAAGTATTCAAGTGAAGATAACTAGATATTGGTTGGATATATGTTATTGTTCAGTGGCTAAAAGAGAAGGGATGAATGGTTATGCCTGCAAGCAAGTTTGAAAGTTAATTAACAAGAAGTCATACTCATTTTTTTTTCTGGGTCTATGTGAGATTATTGCCCAAATTAGAGGGAAGGTGCTAAGGCCATTTGAGGAGAATAATCATTTTAACAAATGGAAATATTATCAAGCATCATAAGGGCCATTTGAAGTTGAGATAATGAAATTATGCCAACATTAATTTATGTAGTTTGTGGTTTTCCTCCTAAAAGAGTAAAAGACAGCTCTAGACAACCTCAACTGGACTGTAACTCAACTGTAATTCAACTGAATGGCATGTTTACCCCAATTCAGGGAAGAGTGAGTTGATTTTGTCCTGATATGTTTGAAAATATAATTATGTGATTAGTGTATAGACTATTAGTATATAGACTATTAGTATTGCTTTTTTTCTAAACGACTATAATATATCTCTTAGAAAAAAATGAGTCCTTGTTACAAACTCTGTATAGATCTTTGTATCTATATTTAAACATGTTTGGTAACAACTGTTTGAATTTGTTTCTCAGTTACAACATCTTAAATACAGATTCAGATCACCAGTATTAATTATCTATTTTTGTGAAAATTGACTAATCCTTTGGGATTATCATTTGTTATTTTGGAGTCCATGCCTTAGTGGATTGTGGTCAGATTCTTGAGACTGCCTACATATAAAGAAGCAATCGGATAGCAAAGAATGGAGACAAAAGAAAATCTACATTTTATATCAAAAATTTCTCTTACAATGAGGGATACTTAAATAAAGCTGTTATTTACAAAGCTTTTTTAAATGTTTATTAATTGGTTACTGCTTAGTTATTGCAATAATTTTCTGTTTTGTGAAAAACGTTAAGTAACTGAAATAATACATTTACATACAAAAGTACACACCTCCTTTGTTCTCACCTGTTCACCACAAATAACTACTGTTCTTAGTTTATTGTGTATCCTTCTATGGTTTCCTTTTGCTTTTTTACACAGAAGGCAGCATATCACTTACCATATGACTTACCATTGAACAAAATGTCTTCATGATCTCTTCACATCAGTCTTTGCAGACAAACTTTTTTCTAAATTTTTTTCTTTTGTGACTATGTAATATTTCGTGTTATGAATGAAAATATTACCAGAGCAAAATATTAATTTACATTTTTTGTATTATGAATGAGATTCAATATCTTTTCGTATATTGCATGATCTTGACTTCATTGGTTTGAGATGCAATCTTTATTTGCCTTTATTGTGTCTATTGATGTACTTAAGTCGGTTCAGAATTCTCTGATTTGTTCCATTTGTCTCTTCATAAGCCAGAACCTACTGTATGATTGATCAGTATCAATATATTATTGAAACTTTATAATGTATTTTAATGTTAATAATGAGTACCTCTTATTTCTCTGTTTTTTTCTCTGAGTTTTCTTGATTTTTTTTTTTAAGTCTTAAAGATCACATTAGAAAAAATACTCTATAGTTCCTCACGTTCCCCTACCCTATAAAAAATATCTATACTGGAATCTCTTAATTTCATAAATTAGAATTAATTTTTTTATAAAAATAAATCTTCAGATGTCAGTATTCATATTCCTGTGTAATGGTTTTACTATTTTTTTTTCTTCTAGTGGTATCACCATTTTCTTTTAGTATTGGTGATACTACAGAACTGGAACCATATTTACATGGAGGCATAGCTGTACAAGTTAAAACTCCTAAAACATTTTGCTTTGTAAGTAATTCTTTTTTGTTGTTGTTGTTTTGCTTCAAAAAAATTTTTTTCTTGGGGCTGGGGTTTGGTTCAGTGGTGGAGAGCTTGACTAGCATGCATGAAGCACTGGGTTCGATTCCTCAGCACCACATAAAAATAAAATAAAGGTATTGTGTTCACCTTCAACTAAAATATATGTATATATATATATATATTTCCTTCTATAAAAATAATAACTTAAGAGAAAAATGTAATACTCAGTTAACCAAACAGTTAATTTAAAAGCTGAATTTATTTTGTTTTCTTTTACTTTGTACTCACTTTGAGGAAAATGGAATCAATCTAAGAAACAAACTGATGTCAAAAACACTGTATAATTTTTGTTTAACTTGTACCCACTTTGAGGAAAATGGGATTAATATAAGAAACAAACTGATATCAAAAAATCTATATAAGCATACCTCAAAGGAAATATACACTACTGAATAATCAAAGAGTTGATCATACTGTTTACTTCCTAAGAGATAAAACATACATATTTTCAAAAGATATATCAAAGGTTGTTTTGCTTTATTAGTTTATTTTTTTTAGTTTATTTTTTAAGAAATATTTCTTTGTTATACTTGTTAATTCAAATTTAATTTAAAGTTAAAATTCTATTGAATTTTAATGCTTAAAGAAAAAACAATGTGTATATTGGAAATATAAAATAATTACCTGACATGAAAGTGTAAGTTGCTAAATAGAATATAAAGACCTATGATCCTGAAATTAAGAGATCTCCTGCTGCTTAAGTCTTTAGGCCATTTCTCCATGTAATCTGTCTAACACATCTCTGGTTGGTTTTTTGATGGTGTTACTTGGAATTTGGGGAAGTTTTATTGCAAGTTCTTGGGTTTTAACTTCATTGTCTTCCCCCACACCAGAACTGTTAATAGTAATAGTACTCCTGAAGGCTTGTTCAAGGCAAAACTAAAATAATAAAATATTACAGTTAGTCACATCTGCCCCTATATACTTTTTTCTTGCTCTGTCCCCAATTTTTAACTGAATAGTTTGTGCCTCAAGTAAGTTCAAATTGGGTGGGTATTTGGGGGTAATTGTCTTTCAGGTTTTTATTTGTTTTACCTTGATGGTTTTTTAATCCACAAATGTTTTATCTTAGAATATCTATTCTGGTCTTGTCAGACATGTGAAGTGTGCTTAACAATATCTGTTTTTATAAATAACAATAAAGTTTTTGGAGTATAAAGATGTTCTTGTTAGTTCTTAAGTTTACTATGTAGAGCAGTTGTTTGCATGTAACTTCTTATAGTGTGGTAATAAGGGAGAATAGTAGATATTTTATATTTCAATTAAGACAAACTTCTTTACATTATTATTTCAGACCTTTGGGAAAGGTTCATTGTTATGTCTATTGCACTGACATGTAACAGTGTATTTTGTCAAGTGATCACTCACTTGCTGTGAAATAATAAATTTTTTTCCTGTTAGGAACCATTGGAGAAGCAGATAAAACATCCAAAGTGCCTTATTGCGGATTTTAGCAAACCTGAGGTAAATACACACTTTTCAGGTTTGAAAGAGGCAACAGAGTGGGGGATGGGAATTGGTAAGTGATGATAAAGTTAAAATGGAGTAACCATGTATATTTCTTGTCCTCAGGTTTTCTTAATTAATTAATTATACTCATATATCTGAAGTTGAAGACTTTAAAACAGGAATTTGTATCATGGAAAAAAAATGTTAGAATGATTAAAGTTTTACTTGATAGGATTTGTTAGCTTTGATTATAAAATGATTTCAATAACTTATACAAATTGATTTTATTAATATTTTATTAACCATGTAGAGTTTATATAAGAGCAAACAAACTTAGGCATATATTTTTTTAAATCACTGGATATAATTTTTTAACAAATGTATTTGTGATAAGGAAGGAAGAAACAGTTTGCAAATTTGTAATTGTTGATAAAGAAAAAAGATTAGATAAACTTACACAAAAGTTTTATTACTGTTGTTCAATTAATATTGCTCTTAAGTTTCATATGAATAGCCTGATAATCACTAATTATTCCACCTTGGAGAGATTCCTTGAAAAATACCTTTATTGCCTTGAGGTCAAGTCATTTTACTTCTCTGGTCATGATCAGTATGAATAGTGTATCGCATGGGGGTTAAAATTAAATAATATTTTAAAAGCATTTAGCCTAGTGTCTGACACATACTGTGCATTTAATAAATGAAGCCAATTTTTAATGTTCTTAAATAGGCACCTTTACAGATTCACACAGCTATGCTTGCATTGGACCAGTTTCAGGACAACTACAACCGAAAGCCAAATATTGGGTAACTTTTTGTTGTTGTTTTAAAAGAACTATTTCCTTTTTTATAAAAACAGGTCTCAAAAATTAGTGTTTTTTAAAGAAAGCCTCTGGTAATTGCAAAAGCAGTAAATACACTGACATATATAAACATTTATTATGACTTTTTGAAGGCTTTAAAAGTTATAACTTTAAAAAACTGAGAATTAGTGAGCTAGTCATACTTTTTTCTTTCTTAATTTAGAAGTACTATTACAAAAGGATTTTGCTTTTTTTATTTAAAACTAAATCTTATTTATATAATGTTAGGTGATCGTGGCTTTGAAGTAATTTATTTATTTGTAAACCAGTTATCTTTAAGTCATTAAAACACTGTTGGCAGAATTCCTCATTCTTCATTGTAGTATATTCATATGTACATAGTATAGTTTGATCAGTTTCATTCCACTGTTCCTCCCTTTTCTCATTCCTCTACATATGAGAGGAAACATTTGACCCTTAACTTTCTGGGCCCGGTTTATTTCAGTTAGCATGATGTTCCATTAATTTGTCAACAGATGTCATCATTTCATTCTTTATGGCAGGGTAAAATGCCATTGTCTATGTATACCACATTTTCTTTATCTGTTTGTCTCTTGAGAGGCATGTGGTCTGGTTATGTAACTTGGCTATTGTGAACTGTGCTGCTATAAACATTGATATGTCTGTATCTTTACAGTATGCCTATTTCATTTTTTTAAGTGCTACAGGATTTTTTAAACTTGCTCTTTTTAGATATAATAGTAGAGTATATTTTGACATATTATACATGCATGGGGTATAATTTACGATAATTAGGATCCCATTTTTGTGGTGGTACATGATGTGGATTTTCACTGGTCATGTGTTCGTATGTGTACATAGGAAAACTATGTCCAGCTTATTCTACTGTCTTTCCTACTCCTATCCCCCTTCCTTTTCATTCCCCTTTGTCTAATTCACTGAACTTCTCTGTTCTTCCCTCCCCCTCCTCATTGTGTGTTAGCATACACCTGTCAAAGAGAATACTCAGCCTTTGGTTTGGGGGATTCATTTATTTCACTTAGCATGATAGTCTCCAGATTCATCCATTTACTAGCAAATGCCATGGGGCCATTTTTCTTTATGGCTGAGTAATATGCTACTGTGTATATATGCCACATTTTCTTTATCCATTTATCTGTTGAAGGACACCTAGGTTGATTCCATAGGTTAGTTATTGTGAGTCTAGCTGCTTTACACATTGATGTGGCAGCCTCACTGTAGTAGGCTGATTTTAAGTCCTTTGGACATATGGGGTTTTTTTTTTATTTTAATTTGTTATATATGACAACAGAATGCATTACAATTCATATTACACATTTAGAGCACAATTTTTTATGTCTGGTTGTATATAGAGTCACATCCTTCTCATGTCTCTGGTTGAATATACAAAGTAGAGTCACATCCTTCTTATCTTCATACATGTACTTAGGGTAATGATGACCATCGCATTCTACCATCTTTCCTGTCCCTATGTCCCCTTTCCTCTTCTCCCTCCCCTTTTACCCTTTGCCCTATCTAGAGTTCATTTAATCCTCCCATCCCCAAAGAAATGCAAATCAAAACTACTATAAGATTTCATCTCACTCATTTCAGAATGGCAGCTATTAAGAATACAAACAACAATAGTCTTGGCAAGAATGTGTGGGGAAAGGCACACTCATACATTGCTGCAAATTGGTGTAGCTAATATGGAAAGCAGTGTAGAGAATCCTTATAAAACTGGGGTTGAAACCACCATTTGACCCAGCTCTCCTACTCCTCAGTCTATACCCAAGGACTTAAAAACAGCCATATCAATGTTTATAGCAGCACAATTCACAACAGCTAAACTGAACCAATCTAGATGCCCTTCAGTAGATGAATGGATAAAGAAACTGTGGTATATATACAGCATTAAAAGAGAATAGAATCATGGGATTTGCAGGTAAATGGATGGATGGAGCTGGAGAATATAATGCTAAGAGAAGTTAGCCAATCCCTAAAAAACAAATGCTGAATGATTTCTCTGATTTAAGGATTCTGATTCATAATATGCTGGATATATGTTTTTATAAAAAAATCCACATCCATATATAAATATATTTTAGTTTTGAATATGAGCTTCTGTTTATGGCAATGGGAAATTGACATTGAGGTACCTTTATGAATTGTAGATGCCAACAAGATTCAGAAGAGCTGTTGAAACTAGCAACATCTATAAGTGAAACCTTGGAAGAGAAGGTAAATATTCAAAGTTCTGGTTGTTAAAAGATTTGTTTGTAACATGTAGATGTTGTATATATTAACAGTTTTCTAAACTAGGCAGGACAGCACATACCTGTAATATTAACTACTCAGAAGGCTGAGGAAGGAGGAATATAAGAAGTTGGAGGCCAACCTTATTAACTTATCAAGACCTTGTCTCAAAATAAAAATTAAAAAGTTTTGAGGTTAAAACTCAGTGGTAGAGCACTCCTGGGTTAAATCCCCAATAACCCCACTCCCCCGCACACACACACACACAAATTACTCTTTCCTCCAGATCCCAGCTTGGTTGCTTATGGATTCTGTGACACTGGGTAATTTCTTTATTTTTTTCTACTTTATCTTTTAAGCCTATAAAATAGGATTGACCTACCTCATAAGATTGTTAATATTATTGATTATTTTATAAACATAAATGATGTGATTTTTATAAAATACTTAGAATATTACTATTTGTTGCTGCTGTTGTTACATTAATGCTGTTTACATTATTTATCATTCTGTTCTGATTTACTCAATTTGTTAACCTGCTCAAACTCACTATAAAATTATCAACTTTTCTGTATACCGTCTCTTTTATATGTGATACATACAAATCTCATGCATATCACATTTAGATTTGAACATATAACCTAGAAAATGGTATTTTCATTTTATGATGCTAGTGCCTGCCTGCCAAACACTTTAGCAACTATCAACATAGCAATATTCATGTAATTATTTGAAAATATTTTTTCTCATTTTATAAAAATGAATGGGAAATGAAGAGCTTAACATAGGAAGCTTTTATCTGTTATGTAATTTTAAAAAAGAAAAAATAAATATGCCACAGGTAATGAATCACCAGCCATAAATGAGAGACCATTCATTACATATGTAGTGGTTGTAGAAAAAAAATATATGAAAATTTAAAAATAGATGATTGTAAATAGATTGTTTCAAAAGTTTTTAAAAATAAAAAAAGAAATAGATTATTGAAGTCTGTGATGAAAGGGAATATGATTAAGAATTTATACGGCTGGTACAATTTATATAAGGTAAATTTCACCCATTTTAGGTGTAAACAAAATTCTTTACACAACTAATTTAGTGTACACCATGAATTCAAAGTGTATAGACCCATATCCACCACTGACAAGATGTAAAACATTCCCATAAGGCCAAAATGTTCCCTTACGCCTCTTTATGATAATCTCTGAAGCCTGCAGCCAAACCCTGGTGACCACTGTTGTTTTTGCCTTTTCTAGAATGTCTCAATGAAATGGTATTAGTACATAGCATTTTATTTTTGTCTCAGAACTTGTATTTGTTCTTTTTAGAAATACATAACAGTAGGGTGTATTTTGACATATTATTTATAACTTTGTATCTCATTCTTGTGGTTGTACATGATATGGAGTTTCACTGGTCATATATTCATATATGAACATAGGAAAATTATGTCCGATTTATTCTATTGTCTTTCCTCTTCCTGCCCTCCTTTATTTTCTTTCATTCCCCTTTTGACTAATCCACTGAACTTTCTATTCTTCCCTTCTCTTCCTTGTTGTGTATTAGCATCCACATATCAAAGAGAACATTCAGCCTTTGGTTTTTTTGGGATTCGCTTATTTCACTTAGCATGATAGTTTCCAGATTCATCCATTTACTAGTAAGTGCCAAAAAGCCATTTTTCTTTATGGTTGAGTTAATATTCCATTGTGTATATATGCCACATTTTCTTTATCCATTTATCTTTTGAAGGGCACCTAGGTTGGTTCCATAGCTTAGCTATTGTGAATTGAGCTGCTATAAACATTGAAATGGCAGCATCACTCTAGTATGCTGATTTTAAGTCCTTTAGATATATACTGAGGAATGGTATATCTGGGTCAAATGGTTCCATTCCAAGTTTTTAGAAGAGTCTTGGTACTGCTTTCCAGAGTAGCACCCACTAGCAATGTGTGAAAGTAACCTTTTCCACTCATCCTCACCAAAGTTTATTGTTACTTGTGTTCTCTTGATAACTGCCATTCTGACTGGAGTGAATAGAATCTCATCGTGGTTTTAATTTGGTTTTCTCTAATTGCTAGAGATGTGGAACTGTTTTTTTTTTAATTGACCATTTATATTTCTTCTGTGAACCGCCTGTTTAGTTCCTTTGCCCATTTATTGACTGGGTTATTTGAGATATATATATATATATATATATATATTTTGGTCTTAAGCTTTTTGAGTTCCTTGTATATTTAGAGATTAATGTTCAATCTAAGGTGCAGGTAGGAAAATTTTCTCCCATTCTGTAGTCTCTGTCTTCACATGCTTGATTGTTGCTGTGAAGAAGCTTTTTAGTTTGATGTTGTCCTGTTAATTGATTCTTGATTTTACTTCTTGCACTTGGGAGTAGGTAGTGCACCTTGTTCAAGTGGTGTTTGTTCCCATGGATGCAAGCTTGCTTTAGCATTTGGAAGTCAAGAATCACATGATTATCTCAGTAGATGCAGAAAAAATATTTGACAAAATATAGTATCCAGTCATGTTCAAAACACTAGAAAAACTAGGGAAAGTAGGAATATAACCTCAACTTTATAAAAGCTATATGTTAAACCCAAAGCCAACATCATTCTGAATGGAGAGAAATTGAAAGCATTCCTTCAAACACTGGAACAATATAGGGATGCCCTCTTTTACCATTCCTATTCAACATATTCCTTAAAACTCCAGCCAGAGCATTTAGACAAAAGAAAGAAATTAAAGTGATAAAAGTAGGAAAAGAAGAACTCAACTATCCCTATATGCCAAAGACATAATGCTACATTTAGAAGACCCAAAAAAACTTCACAGAAAACTTACAGAACTCATAAACAAATTCAGCAAAGTAGCAGGATATAAAATTAACACCTATAAATCAATTGCGTTCCTATACACCAATGATAAAATAAACTGAAGCAAAATGAAACTAGGAAAACTATTCTATTCACAGCCTCAAAAGAAAAAAAATACTTGAGAATCAGTCTAACAAAAGAAGTGAAAGACCTCTACAATGAAAACTACAGAGCAATAAAGAAAGAAATTGAAGAACTTAGAAGATAGAAAGTTTTTCCATGTTCTTGGATAGGCAAAAAAAAAAAAAACAAATATTGTCAAAACGGACCATACTACCAAAAATATTATCTATACTGACTGAACGCAGTTATGTTTGTTATTCTTAGAAATAGAAAGGACAGTCATGAAATTCATTTGGAAAAATAAGAGGCCCAGAATAGCCAAAGCAATCCTTAGCAAGAAAAGTAAAGCAGTAATCATCACAATACCAGACCTTAAATTATACTACAGAGCTACAGTAACACAAATAGCATGATTTTGCCACAAAAACAAACAAGACCACCACTGGAGCAGAAGACACAGAAACAAACCCACATATATACAGTTATCTCATTCTAGACAAAAGCACCATAAATGTATATTGGGGAAAAGATAGCCTCTTCAATATTTATGTTCTTTTATAAATTAAAGAGAATTATTAATATATTAATATAATTTGCTAACTATAAATATAAACATAAGTTTAGTTCCTTTGCCCATTTATTGATTTATAAAAAATGTGGAAAAAACCCTCTCCCAGGGTTTTTCACCATATCCAGTACTAAGATCTTTCAAACTTTATATCTATGTTCAGTTTGTGGAATTTAGTGAGACTTTTTATTTTCTCAGGATGATTTTGACTATGCTTAGTAATCATTGGGCTTTCATTGTATGTACTATGTCTCTTCTTATATCCTGCCTCATGGGCAGGCCTATAGCCTTGTCAAGTCCACAGTTATCTCTGTTGGAGTTTAGCATCTGCTCTACTTACAAGTAATTAAAGTTTATAATATCCTTTTTCCTATCAATACTAAAGACCTGTCACATTTTTATTTTTGATTCTGTGTCTATGAATGTTCTTTGGTGATTGAGATAATTAGACTATCCTAGGGTAACCAAAAATTCTCAAGATTTGGATGTTTTTCATATATTTTACTGAAAAATAACAGAATCTTGGGAAATAGTATAACTTAATGATAAAAATAAAAGTTATGAAGTTGCACATTTTGCACTCAGATCCTGGCTTATCAGTTTACCAACTATAAAGTCTTAAGTTACCTATTCTTTCAAAGTTTTGGGTTTTCACTTACATAATATAATAAAAATGATATTTCCTAAGATTATTTGGAAAATTTTATAGGAACTTAGTATAAAACTTAGCACAATAGGTACTTACTCAGTCTAACTTGCTCCTCTTATGCTCATCATTGCTTGTAATATTATTGCCACCAATATCAACATTTAAAAATGGCACAACTTAAATCACAGTTCTTGTGACTTAAGGTGAGTGCTAAATATTTCAAAATTATGAAATAGAAAACTGAACTGGAGGGGTAAAATAATGAGTAATTATTAACCATTATTTTATCTTACATATCTTTGAGAATGTACCAAGAATGAACTGTCTCCCTTACTAAATATTCAATAATGGTTACTGTACTTAGGATTTCAGGAGATTAATTGAGCCCTACTGGAAGCTTCAAGTCAAAATTTAGGTTACTGATCTTGAAAGCATAGGAAGAGAAAGGAAAAACCAGAGCTTTTGAAAAGATCTTTGTTACAAATAAGTTATGCTAAAACAACAGCTCCAAAATCCAATTACCCATTATTTCTTTTAAAATGATAACATGTTATTTTGAGACATATAAGTTCAGTTATATGTCTCAAAATGGTTATATAAGTTCAGTTTGTAATTATAGTCATTGAGAACTTTGTATTTTTAGCAATGTATTGTCCCATTATTTATCATAATTATACTTTTTACTTACCACTTCTCACATAAACTAATAGCTTCTTATTTTTACATATCTTCTTATGTTTGTTTATCAAGGTTCAGGATTTTTTGTAATCTTTATTAATCTTTTTTGTAAATTCTGGTTGTTCATAAATATAACTGACATCAAAGAATTATTCTTTTGCCTGTAATCCCAATAGCTCAGGAGGCCAAGACAGGAGGATCCTGAGTTCAAAGCCAGCCTCAGCAAAAACAAGGTGCTAAGCAACTCAGGAGACCCTGTTTCTAAATAAAATACAAAATGGGGCTGGGGATGTGGCTCAGTGATTGAGTACCCATGAATTTAATCCCCAGTACCCAAAAAACAAAAAAACAAAAAACTATTCTTTAACAAAAACAGTAAATGGATGATATTCCTGTTAATTCTAAATGTTACCCTAGGCTAATGTAAAGACTCAGATAGCAAAAAATGGGTAGGTACTGGAAAACAAATGCTGCGTACGGTAACAGGCAAATGAGTTTTTTTATTGTGAGTTTGAAATAGTTTAGAATTTAAAATTGATTTAGTAGAGAAATGTAACTTTTTTAGAAGTTACATACTAATAATTCTCAATTTAGTCACTGAAATTTTAAGGACACTATCTGAATAATATTAACAGTATTATTGTCTTTCATGGTTTGTGTTTCAGCCTGAAGTAAATGCTGATATTGTACATTGGCTTTCTTGGACTGCTCGAGGCTTTTTATCCCCACTTGCTGCAGCAGTAGGTGGTGTTGCCAGCCAAGAAGTATTGAAAGCTGTGACAGGAAAGTTTTCTCCTTTGTGCCAGTGGGTTAGTTTCTAATTTTACTATTTTTTTAACATTTAAGTTTTAATTTTCCATGCATAAAATGAATGTATAATGTATTATAATATAGTATTAATATGCTAGAAAAGCTACTTTAAAATGTTATTTGATGCATGAGAGAGGCAAGTAATATGCCTCCAAAGCTTATTAGTTTTGTAGCTGAAACTAACAGGATCTTATGTTAGGACTATTGGAAAATAACCCAAAGTTCTCTTCTTGGTAGTATTTCCCTCTATTATGAAAGTAAAGAAATGAATTTTCTCTCCTTATAGTTAGTTGTTCTCCAGTAATAGCTAAGCTTTCTTGGTTCTCTCGAACTTGTTTCATGAAAATTTTTGCCATTATAGGTCCTCAAGTTCCCTTCCTGGGTATAAAATTCTAAAGTTGGAAAACATAGGAATGATACAGGTTTGAGTTCTATCAATTTAAAACAGTGACAAGATGGAGTAAAGACCCTAATTTCTGTCATCAGAAGGAATAATTGGCAGAAAGTATTCTTCTGTCCCTTTCTGTTTTGAAACAGTGTAAATATTTTTAATATAATATTCACTTTTATATTATAAAAAGAACCATGTAAGGCAACTTTACTACTGAATTGTTTCTTCCAGCATGGGATACAAGTTGATTAGTAGAAAATCTGGTTCAGTTGTAACTCTTAACATCTTGGTTAGATTTGGAAGTAAATTTTCCTTTTGTTTCCAAGGTTTAAAAATAGCATCTTACGTGACTAAATGATATGGATTAGATTATATATCTTTTAACAGTTCTTTCAACTTTTACCATTGTTTTAAAAGAGAAAATATAGGAATAGGCATGGTGTTATAAAAAATTATGTTTTAATATTATTTTACTCCAAATTGACATTTTTAATCATCTTTTCCAATGATGATTATTAAATAACTATAGTAGAGAAGAGCTTCCTTTTTAAATAATTTATGTTATATACATAGTAATTATGTTTTTAATCTTCTACTTTAAGTTATATCTTGAAGCAGCAGACATTGTCGAATCCTTAGGCAAACCTGAATGTGAAGAATTTCTCCCACGGTAATACAGAAATTTCTGTCACTTTTTCTTACTTGTATGTTTATAAGAAACAAGAGTTTGAAAGTTTTTGTCTAAACGTAGATTTATTTTAGATTTATTTTCTCTCATTGGTTATTGTTTCTTACCTGCTTAGGTGTTAAATGTCATATCTTTTTACCACTTTGTAAATAATGAATATAAAGGTTTAAACTTTATGTCATAAGAATGGTTAGCATTCAAAATATCAGAATAATATTAGATGAAAAAATGTTCTCTGCAGTCTATCAGTCATACTTCAACTTTTTTGGGTTGTAAATCTCTTTCAGAATCTGATAAAAGTTTAGATTTTATTCTCCCTAGAGTAAACATAACCCAAAATTCTGCCATCAGTTTAAGTGGGTTAACTCTAAAGCCCATACATGGGTTACTCTAAGAACTTTCTTAAAAATCACTGGCTTAGCAAATTATTTTTCAAGATACATTAGTCCCCCTATCTGCAATTTCGTTGTCTAAGATTTCAGTGACGTATGATCTGAAAATAAAAAATGAAAATTCCAGAAATAGCAGTTTTTAAGTTTCAAATTCCATGCACTTCTGAGTGGCATGATGAGATCTCACCATTCTGCCTAGGACCCGAATCATCCCTTTATCCAGAGTATTTGTTGAATACCTCTTAATCATTTTGTAGCTGTGATTAGATCAACCATCAGTATCATAGTTGGTTTTGTTCAAGTAAACCCTTGGGTTTCTCAGTAATAACCCCAAAATGCAAGAGTAGTGATCGTAGCAATTTGGATATACCAAAAACAAGAAATAAAGTACTATCTTTATTTATATTTATATATAAATATAGATGTATGTAAATATATATATGTATGTATTTTACTTATGTATAAGTGAAAATGTGAAAGTTCTCAACCTAAAGAAAGGAAAAAGATTGTGTGTAGAAGTTATTAATATCTATGGTAAGGGGGCTGGGATTGTGGCTCAGCGGTGTAGTGCTCGCCTAGCGCGTGTGAGGCCCTGGATTCGATCCTCATCACCACATAAAAATAAATAAATAAAATAAAGATATTGTGTCCAACTACAACTAAAATATAAATTTTTTTTAAAAAGATCTATGGTGAGAAAGAGTCTGCTGTCTATGAAATTTTAAAGAAGGAAAAAGAAATTAGTGCTAGCTTTTCTTGTACCTCAAACTGCAAAAATTACAACCTCAGCATTCGAGAGCTAAAATGAAAAAGGCATTAAATTTATGTCATGTATGTTTATGTAAGATAAAATTTAGTATGCATAGGCTTCTGTAGTGTCCAAGGATTCGGGTATACTGGAGGTCTTTGAACAAATTCCCTCTGGATGAGAGGGAACTACTGTGAATTATAGTTATTGTCACTTAAGTTATTTGGACTTATTAAGTCAAATGGAAAGAGTAAAAGCTGATTTTGTGTGGTCTTTTCTCTTTCAGTTAAGGTAGTTCTGATAAGTTGGAGGATACTATTTAGTTTATTCTTTTTTAAAGCACATGAAATTTGCATTAATGACAATGAAACTAATCTAATATTTGTTTTTTTCTATTTTTGTGTTAAATGTTGTTTTCTTCAGGGGAGATAGATATGATGCCTTAAGAGCCTGCATTGGAGATACTTTGTGTCGAAAGCTACAGAATTTGAATGTCTTTTTAGTAAGTTAATAGTGATGGGAATTGTGATGTGATTTTTTTTCCACTAAAATGTTTTGTGGTGTTCATGTCTGTCTTACAAAAACTGAGCTCAGTATTTTGCTTTTTTTGGAATTCTTTAATGTCTTCTGTTTAAATAAGTTATGAATATTTTTCTTTATCTTATTTGGTTTATACTTTTTTCCATCTTTGAGAAACTTGAAAAGATATAATAAATGTTAACTATTTTGAACTAAAATGAGTCACAAATGGCCAGTAATTATTTTAAAGTATGTGTTATCATAACTTAGCATTTGAAGAAAATTTAGGTTGGAATTCTTCCTTGTTAAGTAGATAATATAGTTTTATTTTAATCTGGTACATATCATTTTTCTCCTGCATAGGTAGGATGTGGAGCCATAGGCTGTGAAATGTTAAAAAATTTTGCTTTACTTGGTGTTGGCACAGACAAGGAGAAGGGAATGGTAAGATATAAATCTTTGAGAGCTAAAAGTTTGTATTTCTCTTTTACCTTTTTTTGAACTGTATTTGACTATGTAGATCTGAAGTATTTTTTGAGACGAGAACATTAAACCACAAATTGGAAGAATTTGATATCTTCTAACCACTAATCAAGATCTGTGACCTTATGACAAATTACTTTAATTCTCTGCTCCTCAGTTCCTTTCTCTAATGCTTTAAAACTTAAAATAACCACATTGTTGTTACTTCTGTTAGATACTATTAATTGTTAAATAAACCTTTAAGATGAGAGAAGACATTAGAAATTTACAGAGTAGTAGTTTAGATGTAGTTTCAATTAATGTCAACAGTAGTAGGAATAATATAAATTTTGGAATGCAATTTAAATTTTTAGCACTAAATATAAGTTAATTGCAAAGCCATTCCATATATTTAAATAAAAATAGATTTCATTGGTGGTGTTTCCTCTTTTAAGATATAAACTAACTTTTGTTAGTGATTTCTTAGATTTATCATAATGACTAACAAAATGACCATAAATAACTAAAATTTATATAGTAGTTCACATTTTATAGTTTAACTTATTATTCCACTTGTAAGAAGACATTTATTACTTTCGTAAATATTATATGTTTATATTATTTCTGCTTAGGATTTCCTCAGTTTTATTTCATACACTACTATTAGTTCTATTGTTTTAAAAGGCATTTTAAAACAAAACAAAAAACCCTTGGTTGCCTAAGTTTGGGGATCACCTGAATACCTAAATTCACAGTGCATATCAGCATGTGAAGGTAAAAAAAAAAAACTGGTGAAGAAACCAGTTGAGTTCAGGCAACAAAATGGAGTAAGTTAATGTGGACAGACCTCTGAAATACCGCAAACACATAGACTTACTGTACAAATACTTTTTTAACTTTTTTAATTTTAAAAATTTTTTAATTTTAAAAATCGACTTATGGTAGAACAAACTTTGAATTTAAAAATGATAGAAGATAAAAAGAAATAGAAACATGAGAAGAAATCAGCACTAAGATTTTTCCAAAATGTCATGTAAGAATTTGTCTAATTGTAAACCTACAATTCAAATGCAACTGAAAGTGAAATTTGACAAATAGAAGACAAATACAAGTACTCAGAAAGTAGTGTAAAAAAACTTCTTTTAAAAAATGAAAGCAGATGCATTTGCTATGTCCAGTGTAAATCTAGTGGAATTTCCAGGGAGAATAAACATGCTGGGGAAGAAACAATGTATTTCTAAGATAATGACAAAAATTCCTAGAGTTGAAGCAAGGCAAGTATGTTCAAATTAAAAAGATGAAGATTCGGGCTGGGATTGTGGCACAGCGGTAGAGCACTAGCCTAGCATGGGTGGGACCCAGGTTCGATCCTCAGCACCACATAAAAATAAAGGCATTGTGTTTTGTCCATCTACACCTAAAAAATAAATGTTAAAAAAAAAGAAAATGAACATTGATTTATTAAAAAAAAAAAAGATTCAAAAAGGAGGTTGTATCATCTGTCCAACAATAAATGCTAGAAGATACATAGAACTTTATAGTTAAAGGGAAAATGACTATGAACATAAATTTCTATACTCAACTAATCTTTCAAGAGGGAGGTCAAAGTAAAGATATCTAACCAAAAAAATGATTAAAGATTACCTACCAGCATTAGTTCTTACTTCGAGTACTGTTAAGTAATGTGGGTAGTGCTTGAAGGATAAGCAGAGGCATTTATCAGCATTTTTAGGTTTAGATAAGAATTAATTTTAAAAAGTCTTTAGTTAAAATATTTACTGATTTAGGAGTATGGTTCAAAATAAAATATCTATAATGTTGTACATTGATATCATCATTAAAAGTAGAAGGAAGAGTTACAAGGTAAATAAGTTCCTGTATTCTCAGATTGTTCAGGAAGAAGACAGTTTAATTAATTTTAGAAGTTATATATACCTGTTATACCTGTTAAAATTTTGAACATAACCATATAAAAATAGATGTATAACTTCCAAACCAGTTGGAATTAAGAAAACTTGATCAATGTGGTAGAAAGCAAAATGGGGAGAATAAAAAGTGAGTTTGGAAAAGGTAGAAAGACAAAGAGGTATACCCACAATCATAGTAATTATTAGTTGAGGTAAGGGTAAGGGTTTGTTTTTTTGTTTTGGAACTCGGGGATTGAACTAAGGGGTGCTTTACCACTCAGCCCCTTTTATTTATTTATTTTGAGACAGAGTCTCACTAAATTGCTTAGGGCCTACTCACTAAATTGCTTAGACTGGCCTCAAACTTCAGATCCTCCTGGCTCAGTGTCCTGAGTCACTGAGATTATGGCCATGTACTACAGCAGTTAACCTTGAGTAAGGTTTTTTATTAAAGGTCATTTTCTGCTTGGCTTTTTGTTGTTATTCCCATTAAAAAAGATACCTTCTAACATATTTAGACAGAAATATTAAAATATCTGGGAGATATCCACTAAAAGAAAATGAACATCTGTAAATACTATTATTCAACATCCAATAACTAACATAGTCTGAGAGATATTACACCTAGGCAAATTGTGTTTAAAAATACTAGCTTAAATGGCAAATTATTTTGAATACTTTTCAGATTAATATGTCTGTCACTTTTCTTGCATCTTTTGAAATGAAAGTCTATAAACTTTTTCTGAAAGGACCAGATTGCACATTAAGGTTTGACCAGGTATCGTCACAACTGCTCAGCTCTGCCCTCAGAGAATGAAAATAGCCATAGACGGTACACAAATAGTGTGACAGTGTGCCAGTAAAACTTTATTTACAAAAACAGGCAGCCTCCACTTTAGTTTGTAGACCTCATCAGCTGAAGTTCCTTTCAGATTGAAATGTGCAAGTATTCTTTTCAAACTATAATTCCCAAAGAATAAATATAAATTTAGAAAGAAGAGCTAGGTCCTCTATAGGTAATTAATTGCATGGGTCTAAAAGGTGATAGAGATGTTTTCAGCCTCTATTTTCTCATAAATAGTTGAAGAACATTTTTGAATAATGATTACAATTTATTCTACAACCTTGTTTAAGGTACTCCTATGCTGAATATCAATTATAATTAAATATAGGCATAAAAGCATAGTATTGGTAAGCCAAATAATTTAGAACAATTTGTAGAAGTTGTTTTAGTCATTCCAAGATAAGTAAGATAGATTTACTTATTATGTTTTCCTTCCAATGTTAGGTTACAGTTACAGATCCTGACTTGATAGAAAAATCCAACTTAAATCGACAGTTCCTATTTCGTCCTCATCACATACAGGTATGTTGATATTCTGTTTCGAATTTAAGTCATCTGTTATATAAAAAAAGAGTTTCCTTTTTGTAAATAGAAAATAGGATTGAATAAACAAAGTGTTTTTAAAATTCAAAATGTTTTAGAATTTTATTACTACTGAGAAAGATAAAAAGGAAAATATAAAATTATCTTTTAATATAAAATACTGGTTTTTGCATTGATTTTGGATATTAATTTGAGTTGTGAAATATCAGAGTATTTTTTCATTCTGTAATCATGTAGGTATGTTTTCATATTTAATTTTAGAAAATAAATATATTGAAACAAATTTTATAATTTGAAGTTCTGACATAAATTTGGAGCTACTCTGATTTTTCAATCTTTCTTATGAAACAGGTAAACTTTAGCACTTAGAACTTAAGTCAGGGAATGAAGGAGTTTAGTTAAGCAGATATGCTTTTATTTTTATTTTATTTGCCCTTTTTTGTTCAACAGCTCATTAACAGTACATTAAGCTTAGGAGTGTCATGAACAGAAAATGACTATAACAGCATAGTTAACCTAATTGCCTTACTTGTACAGTTATAAAGGTTAAAGTAACAGGGCCTTTCATAAACTAAAATAGATTACAAAGTTTAAGCACTTTGTGAAGAACTAAAAAATCCTGTTTATTATTTTACTGAGTTATAACAAAGTTTCTGATTTGTATACTAAGAACAGTGAGACATGAAACATGTAAGCCTAACAATGCAGAAATACCATTAAAATGCTATGCATGAACTCAGAATGGGGCAAAAGAAATTAAGCGTCACAGCTAGTACTCACAAATGATTGTGATAATACCTGAAATGGCACCAAAGGTTGAATAATTACTAAATCTTTAAAAAAGAATGAATTTTCATTTAGAGTATTCTTTTTATAAAACTGAAACATATATAGGGCACAATGGTGCATGCCTATCATCTCAGCAGCTCAGGAGGCTGAGGTAGAAGGATCACAAGTTCGAGGTCAGCCTCAGCAACTTAGTGAGTCCCTCAAGCAATTTAGTGGGACCCTGTCTCAAAATAAAAAATGGGGGGGAAACAGGCAAGGGATGTAGCTCAGTGATAAAGTACCCCTGAGTTCAATCTCCAGTACCAAAAAATAAATAAGACTTTTAAAAGATTAAGTATCAATGCATTAAAATCTCATACATCTACGAGCTTATTTTCTGCAGATCTGGATTTTTATATTTTATTGAAAGTGTTATGATTTTCTAGTCTTTAGCAAGTCACAATTACTGTGGGAACAAAATATATTAATTGCGCTGGGCATGGTGATACAAAAGCTAATCTCATCTACTCAAGACACAGGCAGGAGTATCACAAGTTCAAAATGAAATTTTTTAAAAAAGAGCTGGGAATGTAGTTCAGTGGTAGACATTTACCTAGCATTCTCAAGGTCAGTCCCAAGAATTTTAAAAAGAAAAAAAAAGTACTAATTAAAATGACAAAATCATGGAATTTGCAGGGAAATGGATGGCACTAGAGCAGATTATGCTAAGTGAAGCTAGCCAATCCCTAAAAAACAAATGCCAAATGTCAGCTTTGATATAAGGAGAGCAACTAAGAACAGAATAGGGAGGAAGAGCATGAGAAGAAGATAACCTTTAAACAGGGACAAGAGGGGGGAGGGAAAGAGAGAGAGAAGAGAAATTGCGTGGTAAAAGAAGGAGACCCTCATTGTTATACAAAATTGCATATAAGAGGAAGTGAGGGGAAAGGGGAAAAATAACAAGAGAGAGAAATGAATTACAGTAGTTGGGTTAGAGAGAGAAGATGGGAGGAGAGGGGAGGGGAGGTGAGGGGGGATAGTAGAGGATAGGAAGGGCAGCAGAATACAACAGACACTAGTATGGCAGTATGTAAAAAAGTGGATGTGGAACCGATGTGAATCTGCAATATGTATACGGGGTAAAAATGGGAGTTCATAATCTGCTTGAATCAAATGTAGGAAATATGATATGTCAAGAGCTTTCTAATGTTTTGAACAACTAATAATTTTTAAAAAAAAGTACTAATTGGACTTTTGACTATTTTTTTATTGGTTGTTCAAAACATTACATAGCTCTTGACATCTCATATTTCATACTTCAAATTCAAGTGGGTTATGAACTCCCATTTTTACCCCATATACAAATTGCAGAATCACATCGGTTACACATCCACATTTTTACATAATGCCATATTTGTAACTGTTGTATTCTGCTACCTTTCCTATCCTCTACTATCCCCCCTCCCCTCCCCTCCCATCTTCTCTCTCTGTTGCATCTGCTGTAATTTAATTCTCTCCCTTGTTTTTTTTTCTTTACCCTCACAACCTCTTATATGTAATTTTGTATAGCAATGAGGGTCTCCTTTCATTTCCATGCAATTTACCTTTTCTCTCCTTTTCCCTCCCACCTCATGTCTCTGTTTAATGTTAATCTTTTCCTCTTGCTCTTCCTCCCTGCTCTGTTTATAGTTGCTCTCATTATATCAAAGAAGACATTTGGCATTTGTTTTTTAGGGATTGGCTAGCTCCACTTAGCATAATCTGCTCTGATGCCATCCATTTCCCTGCAAATTCCATGATTTTGTCATTTTTTAGTGCTGCGTAATACGCCATTGTGTATAAATGCCACTTTTTTTTAATCTATTCATCTATTGAAGGACATCTGGGTTGGTTCCACACTCTAGCTATTGTGAATTGTACTGCTATGAACATCGATGTAGCAGTATCCCTGTATTACGCTCTTTTAAGGTCTTCAGGGAATAGT